AAGACGCTGCCAACCTCTGCTCTAGGATAACACTATCTTCCTGCTTACAAAGAATGTCCAAATATCCAGCTAAGTCTCAAGCTGCTGTTCTGTAGTAAATCTCTGCAGGTGTCAGGATACACAAGGGATTGTGAGAACTAAATAGTTAATTAGCTGAACATAGATAATGCTTTAGCCATCTTCAAGGGATCTCTGGCACTGTATCACCATCGTGTTCTCCCTACATGAAGCTTCACTCTGCCCACACTCACGTAGTCATATAGTGATGGGCTTGCTGTCTCTTCAGTAGAGCTTTCATGTGGCTCAGGTGTGTTAATCTTCTACACATGGTTACTGATCAGTCTGGGATAGGCAGCCATACTTCTCCTGCACCTAGCAGAAGTAGAAGAATTGAGATTGGGGTAGGTAAGCTCACAAATGAGCCTCCTTGGAAAAGAGAAATAAAGGACAAGAAATGACACTAGTAAAAGGAAAGCAAACCACAAACCTAGTTTCACAAATACAGGGTAAGTTTTTTTTTGGTTTTTTTTTGGTTTTTTTTTTTTTTAGTGAAGGAGTTGAAATTAGAGGAAATTAATAGAAATGTTTTTCAAAGGGAACCTTTTGATAGCTCTAACCCTGGCTTGTGCAGAAATATTATGTGGCATAGTGAAAACGTATTACTTGTCTGAAAAGAGGAAACATGGGCATCCTTTCTCACTCTGCCCCCCAATTCCCTTAAAGACCCCTGTTTCCTGCTCCATTAATGTTTGCTTTTTGCTTTGAAAATCTAGTCACCTCATTTGAATAACGATACTTGTTTAACAGCTTTCTGTTAATCTTCAGAGTTGTCACAAAACCTATGTTCTTTAAGAGGGTGCATAAGGCCCATTTCATTGATTCACTTCCTACAAAAGTTTGTTTTGTTTTTCAAAGCTGAGCATCTAATTACTTGATACCTATTATGCAGAACTTAATTAGTCCTGAAGAGGTAACGGGACAAAGATTGTCCTCTTCTTAAGTTAGGATTCCATTGTTAATCGATATAATATAGAACAGTGAATGTAGCATAAGTAGATAGTATGTTTTGTTTCAGACATTGATGGCTCATGTATTAAGATCGTATTTGGTCCATGAGTGCCACAGGGACTTCAAAAAGTTCTGTTCTTAGTTGACACTTTCCTGAAACTGATCTCAAAATTTTGTGCCTCCTGTGTTTTGATTTAAACCTATTTTTTATAACATTTTGCTGCATCTTTTTTTCCTGTACTGGAAAAGAAAAACACTTCAGTTGTAAGAAGAATTATCTGGTTTACTATGCCTAAAGCCTGATTCAAATACAGTATCGTTTTTGTCCTTTTTTTAACCTCTCTAATTTTAGTTGTTAGGATGTTTTTACCTTAATTTTAGGCTTAATTTTAGACTTGGTATTGGTATAGGAATAATTTTATTTAATTTCCAACAGATTATCCATTGGATTACAATACGGGGGAAGAGAAATCTTCAAAAAATCTCCTTGGCTCTGCTACAAGTGAGTGTAGCTGTATTTTTCTCAGGAAACTTTAATAATACTGTGTAATAATTAAGTGTTTAACTTGAATGTGATTCCATTTAATTAAAGAGCAGTCTTAGATTCCAAATATCTGGGCAACTTCAAAAATTTTACCTTCTCTCTTATTATGACTAAACAATAGACATTTTAATTAAAAATAAATGAGAAGTTAAAGCTACAATTAAACTATTTAATGTAGCATGATCTTGATTCAAATGGTGTTAGTAGTTCCTGTAACTAACTGCAGAAACTGGCTGATGGAGGATGACATGAGGAGTTGCCCTGAGGTAGTGGATGATAGGAAAGGATGTGCAGAGTGCTTCTCAGTATATGTGGAAGGCCTTATGTCCACATAAGATTCCTCATCCCTTCTTAAACTAGTCTGTTTTTGAAGGAGGTGATGTCTTGGGTAGTTTTACTCACTACCTTCCTCTTTAGCTGGCAGCATTGGCAACGCATGGGGGATGCATGTGGGTGCACAGGCACCCCCTGAGACTGGGTGCTGCCGGCAGCACCCACTTACTGCCCCCCTTGCTGCTCACGCTGCTGCTGCTTGCAGGCAGTCACCATGCCTCGCTCCCCCTCCCCAGCCTCATGAGGCATTCATGGCTGGCAGTGCACTAAACCATAATGGACCTCCTTACTCGGGAGGTCATGGGACTTAAACTTAAATAGATGTTTGAGGTATTACTTCAGTTCTGATGGAAGCCCTCAACTCTGCAGTTATTTAGGGTAGCATCAGCCATGCAATCCTTTTTGTCAAGATTAAGTGAATTATATTGCAGAGTTTACATCAACAGTGAATGCTACTTCTGTTATTGCTCAAATAAACCTAAGCCTTAAATCTGCAAAGTAAAACATTCCTTTTATCCCAGTTTCCCAAAGTTGCAGTGTGAAAGACACAGCCATGGCCATAAATACCGCATAATATTTTAGTGTAGCTTTGGGGAAAGGCAACAAATAGCCATATAAAGAGCAATCTGTTACTAAATATTAAAGTTCCAGATTTGTTTGACTTTCAGTTCAAATGAGAAGATGTAGTGTTGAGGCACTATCAAGAAAAACTACCTCTTACCAATAATTATTAAATTATTTATGCCAAAGTCCTGTTGAAATACCTTTAAAACTTGCAAAAACTTCTCAGTCTGAAAACAGTGGTTTTTCTTTTAATGGATATAGAATTTGTTCTTATAGAAACAAGTATTCCAAAATAATTAAAAACACAAAACCCCCCCAAAAAAACAAACAACCCTCCCCCCAAATGACTGAGTATTAATGACAACAGTAATTCTTAATTGTGGCTAGCTGAATTGGTTGCCTACCCTGGAATTAAATGCACTTTCTTTTTTTTTTAAGCAGCAGGAGATCCTTTGTCTAGTCTAAACAACACCAACCCAGACTTCCATTTAGTATATCTCTCTATGAATGAGGAATAGAGTGATGTTAGAGAGCTTGCTGATTAGGGATTTTGATTAATGAAAAGTGGCTTGCAGTTTTGTGCCAAATAAACCAGTGCAGGTAGTGCCTCAGCCCTCCTTTCTCTTATCAACTGGCAGATTCACAGAGTAGCTTTAATCTCCTCTCCTCCTTTCTGTTTCAACTCCTGGAAGGCATCCAGATCAGATGAGAACTCAACTATTTTGGTTACAATCTTTCTCTTGGCTTTTTAGGGCTTTCAGACTACGATTGGGCATAGAATAAAACCTAAACAGAATTCATGGAGTTCTGGAGTGTTCCTCAAACTGCTTGGGAGAGAATATTCCACCAAGATAAAATTAAATCATCATTTTAGTGATTTTATTCCAAACACTTCTGAGCCATTTATTTGTATTTGATCTTGGAGAACTCTGCCTCTCTTGTATAGATCGGAATTGTTGTTCTAGATGGTGCATTGGCATTTGAGACCACGTGGGGAGAAATAAAGGTCAGTTACATGGCACCAACATTATATAGCAAACATTTTACCACTTCTAGTTTTGTTTTTGAAGCTGAAGACATACCAGGCAAATTGGTAGCAAGCATCATAAGCTCATTTAACCCTCTACTGTACCTGGATTTCATAAAGTCTCTTACAGGTTCTCAAATGCCAACATCCACTATGGTCAGCTTTGCCATACTGTAACTTCTCAGCAACATTTTGTTTGTTAAAAATAAAAATAGACTTATTCACTGCTGCCGACATTTTATAAGAAATTCTGTGTCTGATAGCCATGTTTGATTCGACATTATTCTTGGGCCTTTCTTCTTAAGTTTCTGCACTGGTCAATGCAAGTACACTGCCACACACAAAGGGGAACTTCAGGGTAAGCCAAACCACAAATTGCGACCTGGTGCAAACCAAAACACTTCTAGAGAACTGTCTCCTAACCAGACTAAATGGAGATTGAAGTGTGCTAGAGGTTATAAAACAGTAGCTATAAAGCAATGTAGTAATATATGCTAGTCAAAGGATACTAAGGGAAATCTAACCCTCAAGTGTTCAGCACAGGTAGGCAAGGTAGAGGTGTGAGCTGTAGCTCCATGCAGCCACAAATCGTATCAGGGACTGAGTCAACCAATGTAGCACTTGGCTAATGGGCCCAAACTGGAGCAAAATATCACATTGCCAAAAAGAAGAATGAAGACAGATATCTGTAGTGAGTTTTTTAAATCTCCAAGTAGATTTGGTAAACTTGCCAAATATATTGCCAGGGCTTTTAGCAGCCTGCTTTATCGTATCCTTGGCTTGCCATCACGCTCAGAAGGTGACAGGGAAGGGGTAAGTAGGAGGAGCTGAAGTGCCAGCTTCTGACTAAAATTGGAGAATAGGGATTGGAAAAGTTTTCTTCAAAATTCAGTTGGCTTGAAAGAGTTTTTCACAGGCTGTTATACTCTTGGGAGAGGTGACTAGAAATATGACATTCCCCTTGTAAAATAACACACAGTTAATAGTTTTGTAGGTTTTTTTTTACACTGACTTCCAAAAATGTAAAATCAGAACCCTTTTTAACTGAAAGCATCATTGGTAAATATCAGGATTTACCAGATAACTTGGAAACATTTGGAAATCCATCCAGCAAAAAGCCCAGTAATTCTTTGAAAATGGACAGGTAAGAAAGGAAGCAGGAAGGAAAGGAATAGATGACTTAATCTTAGGATCAATCAGTACTTCTTGTTATCTTCAAGGTCATAATGGCAAGTCTTAGAATATCTGATGATGGCAGTGAAGTCTGATATTCTGGATGCATCCTAATCTCCGTTTTTGTTTTAGATGCCATTCTAAATATGGTAAACATTGCTGCTAATATACTTGGAGCAAAAACTGAAGAGATTTCTGAAGCTGAAGGTAAACTTCCTTAAAATCCTATCGTTATCTTAAATGTCAGTTTCCTTGTTTTCTCACCTTCACTTTGAAAAATTTGGGTACCTCAAATACTGAATTTTTCTCTCATTCCTTTTCTGCGGCATCTTCCCTGTGATGGCTTACACCATAGAAACCTGAGCAATTTGACTAGGGAAAAGTTGTTAGTGTTGCATTTAGGGCACCTTCTTAGGGGTTAAATGGTATGGGCTTCTGCCTACTGGTCCAGCTGTCTTCTGATGTGATGTTTAGTTTGTAGCTTACATCATAATTTTAAACACTGAAAGAATAGCAGCTTTCTTCTGCACAGATGTACATATCTGGAAGTATAAGGGCACACTTTTTTCTTCCTACAAAACAGTCAACAGTTTTCAATTAACTGAAAATACTGAGCTCTGAACATAAAAGCGAAACAAGGCCTGTTGTGTGGTTACTTTACCAAATTTTTATAAGCAAAAATACTATTGTTTAATTTCTTGGTGTTATAGAAAACAAATATGACTTGCTAGTGAGGAGTCAGACCTGTTAGGATACACTGTCATAGCATGCTGTTTTCTCACCCTTGCTTGTGGTTCTTTTCTGTTGAACTCTGATACTCAATCAGCTCAAATCCTATTGTACAAATTTTCTTCTTGTTTTGTGTACCATAATAGGAAATAAGAGTCTCTCTGAAAATACCACTGCCATCAATGCTACTTTGACAGCTGTGCCAAAACTGCCTGAACCAACACCTGTTCCTTCATCAGAGTAAGTAATTTTTGTGCATCACTTAGTGCCCAAGACTGCTTCATTAGCACTAATCTTAGGTCTTGTCTACAGTAGAAATAGATCATCTGAATACACTTACCACTGGTTTAACTCTGGCTTATCTGTAATGTGGCTTGACTTTAGCTTAATAATGAATGTTGGACCTAGTAATGAATGTTGTATAGGGTAAAAAGGAAATTGGCATCAAAAGACTGTTGAACATGGAAATGTCTTGGGGGCAAGTGTAAGTTTTTCTGGAGGACTTAATCATATTCCTTTCAGCCCCCTTAGGATCTCCCCTGAAGCAGGGATGTCAGATCTGGCCCACAGGCTGTATGTCTGGCCTGTGGAGCCCTATGATTTGGCCAGTGGCTGATCCCCATGCATCTTGTGGCCAGTGGAGCCTGTCTGGTGTGTGGGCTGGACCTGGTACAGCACGCACACCAGACTAGCTCTGGTCGTTTGCTCTGGTGCCCTGTGCTGGAGCCAGGGTACAGGGCTGGTCTGGTGGGGTGCTGGATGCAGTGCATCCCTGTTGTCACCCTGAGCTGTATGAAGTGCATGTAGCCAGTCTAGAAATTGGAGAACAGGGATGGGAAAAGTTGAACATGCATCATGTCAGCCTCTCCCCCAAGCGTAGGCTGGACCCAGCACTGCAGGGGCTGTATGCAGCACAAAGGGTCTAGGGCACAGGCTGCATGAGGCACCCCATGAGACCAGTCCTGCAGGCTGGTTCCAGTGCATAACATAGCCCTAATCCAGCCCACAGACTGGCCTTTGGAGTCGGATGAGTTTGATGCTCCTAAGCCTTAAACACTTCTTGTGGTCAAAATTTTTCTCAAGTGATTTAACAATTTTTTTTTTTAAGAGGATAAAATGTCACTCTTGTGAACATCTTAATGAGCATTGATCAGCGAAATCCAGCACTGACATTCTCCAAGAATTAATTATTTTCTGTCAGATGCTAGTTTTTTCTAAAGAAAAGTACTAGAAAGCAGTAGGAGCTTCTCACTTCTGATCTGGTTATCAAGCTGGGTGTGGAGATTGATATGCTGTTCTGTCTAGTTGCACAGTCTTTTGTCTTGCAGAAACCAGTCTAACTAGAAATATCTGTTACCAGTATAATTCAGTGGTGCTGACCTCTGACCCTTGAGCTGAATGCACCTTGCAGGGCCCATGTCATCCAGCTCCCAGGGCTCCCCAGAGGTCTGGAAATATGGCAGCAAGGGAACAGTGACAGCCCTAATTGCCGCAGCTTCCAAAGCCACAGCAATTAACTCTGCACTGCTACCCTGCTGCCATATTTCTGGATTCCTGGAGAGCCCCACAGACTGGATGACATGGCCCTGTATGTAAGGTTCCACTGGTGCACAGGGTCACTACTTGCCCATATCCACCAAGCATAGCCAGGCTAACAGGACAGTTTGCACCTGCAGACTGACTTCATGCTGGTTCACGACCACTGACAGCCCCGTGCCACTTCTCTGGCCTCCAGGGCCAAAACATTGAATACCACTGTTTGTAACTAACACAGTATCAAGCTGGAAACAACTTTGGTGTTAAGTTCCTATTGCTGGCATAACTTTTCCTTGATGAAAACAAGAACCTAGTCGGAAACAACAGTTTCACTTCTGCCTGATCAGACTTTATTTTTAAAGGAGGGATATTATCTTTGTGTGCTTAACTGCCCTACTTATATACTTGACATTTTTTTTCTAATGTCTAACAGTTATTTGAAACAGTGATAAATTTGTTTTCCCCCCCTCCCCAACTTTCCTCCCCAATTTGTATTTCCTCTTGAAGACTCTTTTGATTACTTTGGCTGTTTAAACATAGTTAATGGCAGAAGCTCAGACCTCCTATTAAATGAAAAACTGCTCCTCTTGTTAAAAATGTGATTTGGTGGGTGCAGCCTAAGAATTGCTTAAGAATATTTCAGACTTAAATGTAGGTCACTTCCTTTGCCTTGCTTTCATTTATAAAGCTTTTTTTTTCTAAATAGCTTCCCCATAAATACAGTTCCCATAACTTAACAGCATATCTGATTTTAAGACTGTCACTTGAGGTAAATATCTTACATTTTAGGATGCGTTTCGTATGTTGCAATTGTTTTTACCTGTGTAAGTGTATATACATAAAGAGTCTTCAAGACAGACTAAGCTGCTTCAGAATTTTTTAAAAAAGTACAATAAAGAGGGTGGGAATTGGCCAAGAAGTCAAGCTCAGAGTTAAACTGGCTTATGATCAATGAAATAGCTGAACAAATTACAAAGCTGTGGTTTTAATTGCCTTACAAGCAATAGAAAACTAAAATTTCTGAAAATCCATGCCACAGCCTAAGCAGCATATTGGATTAGTTTATTTTGTATTCTGTGTTCAAATGTTTGCTTTATTACAACTGAATGAGTATTGATAAGTGTCTTTACATTGATAACCAGTATTAACCTCATAAGAAATTTTGGGGGCAGGAGAGTTATGTCACCTTCTTTTGAGGGTTTTTTCTATTTTGAATGTTCAGGAATTCAAACTTCCCTGGCAAACTGAACCATCCAACCAGGCTGTAAGCTATTTACTCTTTCTTGAGTCATTAAAACAATCTTAATTTTTGAGTTCTTCTATTTAGGAAGGAAGTATGGAGTTTCCTATTAAGATTCCCTGTGATTTAATTTCTGCTTTGTCCATATGGTTATAGGTTACTTCTGTTCAGTTACATAAAGCTTGATCCAGGAAGGAAAAACGATGGTTCCCTGAAGCTCATATATTCAGTTCTGTCTGTCTCCACATTTGAGAAACCAGTTGGGGAAAACATGGATCCTAACGCATGAAAATATTTGATTTTTCAAATTAATATCTGTTCTTGTTACCACTAGAATATATATTTTTTTTGCATGGTGAATAATCTGTATCCAAAGACCCTGTGAATTAAGATAATTGGAGATCATACAAATTAAGATTAAAGTACACTTCAGAAAAATCACTTTACTTAATTTCAGTGGTTCTTCATACTGTATCTGACAGCTACTGCCATCGTCTTTCTTTCATGAGCATCAACTTTATGCGTTAATTTCAAAATAATTTACTGCATCTTATACAAAGAAGCAAAGAAACAACCTGGGTTTTTAACACAACTTCTGTTTGTAGGCTTGTAACTACAGAGATACCTGAAATAGAAAAGGAACAGCCACCCCTACCTACCACACAAAGCCCCATTGTACAATTAGTGCAAGAGTATGAAGAAGAGACAAGCCAGTCAACAGTAACCCTGCTGCCCAGTGATGAGCAAGAGGAAGAGACGACCCCATGGTTTGAGTCTGAGACACAAATCTATTGCTATGACCTGGTGAACATTTGCTGTATTTCTAGCTTTTCAGAATATCTGTACCAATGGTGTTCAGTTATAGTAGCTCTTCATCGGCAGCGTAGCAAAACTGATGGCAAACAAGGAGGAGAATACTCTGCTGTTGTTCAGTATCCACAGTTAGTTCCAACAGAGTCTTTACATGTTGCAGTAGAGGAACCTCTGCCTGAGAAATTAGATGGCAAAATCATGGAGAGATTGCCTGGATCTACAATTGCAAATGATTTAAGTGTACTCCTTGAGGATGTGAGTAATCAGACTGTGGATTCTATTGAACTGGAACCCAGTCTTCCTCAAACTCTCTCTCAGTCTCTCCTCATAGAAGTTACTTCAGAAGTTAAGCCATTGCCTACAATAGAAGTATCTTTGGAGCCTACAAAACAAGAAGTAGGGCAGGGTGTGTCACCAGTAACTTCCCAAGAGGATACTGTTGAGATCATTGATGAAGCAGAAAAGAGAGTTGATGGCTCCTTTACTGCTGAGAGACATTCTGTGATCTCTGAAACAAACACCGTCGCCGAATTCCAGGAAACTAGTACAAAAGATATGACTCCTGTTCAGATCATCTCAAAGCCTACAGAGACTGTACCACGGCCTGAGCACACAACAACTGCAATATCTGTTACAATAGGTAACAATATTGGAGAAGGAAAAGCAAGCACTTCAGACGCACAGAAGCAAGTTTTGCCTCCTGCTGAATCTTCTGTTACAGCAGAAATAAAAGAGGATGAGCAGACACCTGAGGAAGCTTTCCTAGCAATTCCTGTTTCTGGTGGACAGCAGAGAGCAGCAACAGACTTCTATGCTGAATTGCAGAATTCTACAGATCTAGGCTATGCTAATGGAAATCTTGTTCATGGATCTAATCAAAAGGAGTCTGTATTCATGCGGCTTAATAATCGTATTAAAGCCCTAGAAGTAAATATGTCTCTCAGCAGCCGCTATTTAGAAGAACTTAGTCAAAGGTAAGCTCCTAATGGTTAGGAAAATCTGTGTGTAGATAGTCTAAAATTACACAGCCAGTTGTTGTATGCAGTCTTGTAAAATTGTGTACAGAAGTTTTCATACCAATGTGTGAGTTCAGTAACTACTTAGCAGTGTAAATATTTACACAAAACTGAGAATAACATACTTTAAAAGCTGTCCAAAGTTTGGATGTTATATAATTTCTTTGGCATTCTTCAGCAGACTATAAATTTAATAACATCATGAAGTATCATAAAAGTGCCCCATTTTAAGGTGTTGGTTATTGCCAGGATGTGCTCTTTATAATCCTCTAAATCTATAATCCTTTCAAACGGACTGTGATCCCTCTGCCATGCAATTGATGCAGCAGGATCCCAGTACGTGGCAACTTTTCCATTTACTGAACTGCCACAACTTTATAGAAATCTCTTTAGTATTTATTCTCACTTGTTAAGAAAATTTAGTTTTCTGGTATTTGCATTTTAAAAAGGAATGATGTGGGGGAGGGATATGGTCTTCAGACAATGGTGGCAATTAAGGCCTCTGCAACTATAATGCTAGTAAGTACTTCTACTCTTCCAAAAGTACATTAGCTAAATACAAGTCTGGTTTTGCTTTATACTGACTTTTGGAAATCATTTTTAAGAACAGGCTCACCTGCTTGTCTCTGTCTCAGCATCCAGAAGTTTGGGGGATATTCTCAAATCCAAGTAGCTACTGTAACCAGGGTTTGCTGATCCAGATCTTTTTTGCTCAGTTGAATTAAATGTCTTTGCCTACAAGTTTTGTTGATGACAGATCAGTAGGATCACCCTCATCATTGTTTACAGTGGGATGGGTATTGGGAAAAGGTTGTAAGATCATATTTTTAATTTAGCTCTTAAAGGTACACACCAGGTAGGAAATCCTTTTTAACCTTTTTTAAAAATTTTAAAAAAGAAAAGAGAAGGTTAATACTAGATAAATTGAGGGTGCTGTGGCAACATGTCTGAAATCTTGACCTTTACGATGGGACCTCCATTTTTTGTAGGTACCGAAAGCAAATGGAAGAAATGCAGAAAGCTTTCAATAAAACCATAATAAAACTTCAGAACACTTCACGAATAGCAGAAGAGCAGGTATGTTTTCTGTGTGTGTGTGTGTGTAAAAACATTTCTGTTCTCAGAAAAATAAGCAACTTACAATTAATTACCTAAAACAGTGTTAACAATAATATTAAGACCAAGATTTGCATAATGTTGAAATAAAAATGCAAAAGCTGCACAACAAGCATAGCCTCTGTATTTAAAGTAGTCCTATTCTCAGCTAACCCTTTTTTAGACTTCTGTAGCAAAACCTAGGTGATAAATGTGTCTAAAAGCTAATGGGGAATGGATCCTTCTCTCCCTCCTTCAAGCCATAAGTGTAGTTTTCAGAAGGGCCAAAGCATGACTTGCACACTTGGGAAGGGAAGTGCTTAGGTTCACTTTGAAAATGGACTTGTGGAGCTCAATTTGAGTGTTTTTTATATTGTGTACTTGCTGTCTGTATAGATCCATATATGCCCACCTTGGTTTTTTCCTGGCCCCTTGTCTTCAGACCTTTAGGAAAAAGTAGATGCTGTGATTTATAAATGGCTTTGAGAGGTTGGGAACCACGTACAGTTAGCAAAGGTTGCCTGTTTCTGCTCTAACTTGCTACTGTCTGTTGTTTGTCATTTTCTAAAGCTCTTTAGACCTGGTGTTGGTCTGAAAGTGACATTCTAGGAAAAAGTTAGGATGAAAACCTGTTAAGAGCAAACCCTAAATTCATTGTAGTAATTGTCCATATGCACATTCCTGTGTAATTGAGCTCAGACCTCTTGGCCTGCAGTACCCCATGGTGCATGTACACTTTCAGACTTGTGCTTTGCACCAAGGGTGCAAGTACATTACCTCTTGGCTTGTGACTGACTTTTGACTGAGGTAAGATGGTAAGAAAACTTCCTGGTCTATTTCTAAGTGATTCATTTTCTCGCTGAATTAGTAGTAACTTGGTAAATCATTAGCTGCTTTACCCACTTGTAATGTGTCTCTTTTTTCAAAACTTATTCTGAATCTCATGGCTGTCTCTGTTGCTTGGTTTTGAGTGTGGACAGTAGGGGCTGTACAAGCTTACTGTGGCCATTGGGCAGGAAGTCCCATCCTTTTACCTGTCGGGCTTGGGAGGCGGCTGTGAGCAGTGCAGCCTCCCCACCTGCTCTGTTCATCCCAGCCTAGACGCTCAGTACTGAGCCTCACACTGCCTGTAGCCACCCAGCTGCTATGGGGGAAGGGGTTCAGGGGCTTCA